TATAAAGTAAAATAAAAAATTATTCAGGTGAAAATATTATTATATTATATAATTTTCAATAAATAAGTAAATAACGAAACACTTATTACACTTAACAGTCATGATGTATATATGTTGTGAACGTGGTGCACGGAAAAAGCACTACGTGGGCCCAAGCCATATAAATACCCTCCTCCCTCGTTTTTCCATCAATTTCATAACTCCCATAACCGTTTGAACACTCTTTCTCCATTCTCTATTCACTCATCGCAACTAAACTTCAACAAACCGAATTCAATTTTCGCTGCATTTCTCGCTAACGAAACAGTTCACTAATAATGATAATCAGTTCGAGAAGTTCGAAACGGAAGCTTCAGGAAGCACCACTGCACGTGGTTAGCAAGAAGCTCCGGTCGAAGATTCCTCGCCGGAGGAGACGTCAGATCTCGCCGGTGATAATTGCTTCACCGAGATTCAATGGAGAGAATCGGAATGTGTCAGTTATTTCTGTGGATTCGAGCTCCGGTTCTGATTTTGCTGGCGATGAAGTTTCGTGCAATTCGAGCAGGATTTCTGCTGTAATGTCCAGTAAACGAAGGACGTGTTCGAGGAATGAAATTGATTGCGTTCAGAATGAAGAATGTGTGAGTTTGTTGAGTAATCCGAGATTGGAGAAGCGGAGTGAAAATCAAGTGGAAGTTTCGGAGACTTCGTGTGTAGATTCTAATTCTGGAGTTCGTGAACGGAGTAGGAGCTTGATTTTGAAGTTCAACAGTGGAAAAGAGAATGATGAAATTTCGGAAGTTACTTGTGCAGAGAATTCAAAATCGAGTAATGGAAATTTGAATATCTTGTCGAAGATTACGCGAAATGACGTCGTTTCTATTAGTTCTGATGCTCGAGAAACATCGTTTACAGATTTGAAAGCGCAATCTAGTATGAAGCAGTTGCCGGATAATTCAGGTTACGATTCCGATCTAGCTTGCTCTGAGCAATTTCAATTTTCTTACTACGAAGATGACTCGGAATATTGTTCAAGTCTAGGAACTACATTCTCTGATCTTCACTCCGAGATGTTTGGTGAATGCTCAGACTGTAGTCCGTCTCTGTTAATTGAATCTGGTAGCGAGTTTTCACAGGGATCCGTTGGTGAAACTCCTTCGTATACTTATTCACTGTTACTTCAATATCGTAAGGAATTCACGACGTTGTTAGCGTATCCTGTTAATCATACTCCAAGTGTTGAAGAAGATGCTTCTCTTCGATGCAATGTACGTTTACTTTCATCGATTTCTGAGTTCAAATTTACATACTACAACTTCTACTGCCAATCATATGCTTATTCTATTTTGGATTTCTGATTTTGGATCTGTTTGATTTTAGTTTTCAAGGTTTGAAGATTTGGATGATGAAGACAGTTACCAGATACTTAGAAAGAGGGAACGGAAGCAAGTTTTCATGTGGAATTATGCTGAGAGATATTTCTCTACAACGGATTTTACTGAGCTTGTATTTCAGCAACGCTGCCGAATGGTTCACTGGATCGTTGAGGTATAGGTTGCTCTATAACTAAATTCAACTAAGCTATCATTTATTATTATTAATTTATTAGCATTACTATTAGTTTTATTATTATAATATGATAAATATGATATGATTCATTAGTTAGTATTAAAACTGTCTTCTTCTAATTGTTAATTGCTTTCATATAATTTGTTAATTAAGAAACTGAAACACCAAATTTGTTGTGTACTTGGAGAGTTTAAACAGAGTTAGGATTTGCTTTTGAATGTTACCTGTTATTTTTATTTATTTATTTGTTACTCATAGCAAGTGTTGTAAGAGCGCATGCTGGAAGAGTGATAATAAGTGATACTATTATTGCTAGTAGCTTCCAGTTGTCTTCGGAGACACGCCGGATTCATTTGGAAAATTTGAAAATGAGAGAGTGAGAAATATGATTAGATTTTTTATATATAAAATATTAAATAAAATGAAGTGTTCAGAATGCAATGCACTAATGTTTGATGTAGTTCTTTTTATACATTCTCACAATATTTAGTTAATTATCTGCAAAAAGAAAAAATAATAATTACTTTAATTGAATAGATAATTAATTTCAAAATATAATTAATTCACATGACTAAATTAATCATATCTTTATAGAATACAATATACGTATTTTCACTTTTTCTTTTGTTGGAGGTATAGTTAGTTAATTTGGATTGTCTAAACAGAGATTTTACTTTCTAATCTCAAGCTGTAAATGTAGAAAGAACAATCATAGATTTTTTTTTTTTTAAATGGACCTACTGTAATTAAAAATTATGATGATCATATAAAAATATATCAATTATTATTCTATTATCATTTTGTCTTCGTGATAGCCGTAGGCTAGAAAAAATAGTCAATACTTGGCCATATTAACTAAATTGAATGTAGAAAGAGGTCACCAAGTAAAGAGAAAAAAAATTAATAATACAGCAATGAACTAAATTTTAATCCCTATTGAAAAAACAATCCTGCATAAATTAAAAATTAAATCCGGTTGTCCCTATTAAAAAAAAAAAAGTTTAGATTTAATATGAGAATTTAATATGTATAAACTACGATTGACCTCTTCTCATCGTGATTCTAATTAATTGCTGAAATTACCCTCTCAAATGATTGTCATTCCTTTAGGCAAAGCTTAATTTTATCTTCCCTCCCTTCAGAATACGACATGTGTAAATAGCTTTTGATCTTTTGCTGTCTATAATGTTTATCGATGTTGCTAACACAGACTCACACACCCACCGAATTTTTGGAGTTTCAATTTCAAATTGAAATTTACTTTGAATGGGCAGCATTCTTACCGAAAACAGCTTCGACAAGAGACAATATTTCTTGCAATCAACCTACTTGACCGTTTCCTGAGCAAGGGATACTTCAAAGCTGAAAAAACCCTTCAAATTGTTGGAATAGCGTGTTTCACGTTGGCAACGAGAATTGAAGAAAACCAGCAATGTAACAGGTTATGATTTAATCTTACTTAACTTTTTCTCCATCGTCTTAGTTTTACCTCGGAAAAAAACGTGTTTGATCTTTACAACTAGAGATTTTTTCATTAAATTCCAAAGCACGGTCACATAATTGAAAATTTGAGAATGGTCCTTAAAACTTAAATAGTAGTAATATTTTAATCAGCTCATTTGAGTTTGAGTTGTAAGAAAACAGTAAAGTCAATTTGCTATTTCTCACTAACTGATTCTTTTGTTGGTACAATAGAGTGGGGCAAAAATATTTCTACATAGAAAAAAGTGTGTACAGTAGATGTGAAGTGGTGGCTATGGAATGGATGGTGCAGGAGGTGCTCAAGTTTCAGTGTTTTCATCCAACCATCTACAATTTCTTGTGGTATAACTTTTTCTGTACATTGTTATGGCGCGAAAAACTTTCATTGATGTTACATGCACCAAATATTTTCTTCTTTCAAGTCTTATAAACAATTGAAAACAATCAATTTGAGCAGAGCCTTATGATTTTATTCCCCTAATAAAGTATTTCTTGCCTTAAAAACTGTGATAAGTTTAAAATGAGGTAATTTTGTAATTGTAATTTTAATTTACATAGCACGAAGAAAAATTAGTAACACCTTAAAAAATGTAATTCGTGAAGGAAACAAAGTTCTACTCCCATTTACCCCTTGTAATAAAATTTTGCAGGTTCTACCTTAAAGCTGCTAATGCCGATGCTGTTATGGAGAAAAGGGTCACTTGCCTAGCTTTACTGGCTCTATCGGGTCATGATCAGCTGTGTTACTGGCCCTCAACTATTGCTGCTGCACTTGTAATCCTTGCTTGTCTAGAACACAATGAGAATGCGTCCAACAAAGTCATAGGGGTAATTACTATTGTCCAGCAATGTCCATTGAGGATTTCAATCATTAGCAAGTTACTAGTGATTTGAATTTCACGTATATAATTAATCTTGTGATTTTGCAGATCCACATTAGATCAAAGGATGAGAATTTGCATGAGTGCATGGAGGTATTATAATATAATCTGTTAGTGTGATTTTTCTTTTGTATTAGATAACAACACAAAGTAAGGAAAAAAAATCACCTCACCTTTTCTTTTATCATTTCATTACATATTCTGAGAAATGACCCACAAAATTATTTGAGTAAAATGAATCATTTATCATCATTTGGTTTCTCTTATTATTGATAAATTTAATATGAAACCTAATATTATCTTCACTTGAACAGAGCCTGGAGTGGCTGTTACGCTATACATGATAACAAACTAGCTGGAAGGAGCATATCAGTTATGGATTGGTGTGGAAGGTTTTCTACCTATCCAAAGGAAAATGGTTATCTTACATTGATTCATCAAGCATTATAACTACTAAATAAATTTCATTTGTTCACCTACCTGATGGGAAGGAAATTCAATTCTTTTTGCCATGTAACTATATTGGTTGTTCTATAATATAGAAAGCAAAATATCCACATTTTATAGATACTTTGAAACCATACAAGAGGATAGAAACCTTAGCAGACAACAGTTACTTGTAAATGACCTACAAATATATTACAGGTTATATAAAAGTTCATCTTACAATGTTATACATCATTCCTATATATTTTCAAAGCATTTGATTTGTGCAAAAGTTCAGAAATGGATTAATGAGATGAAAATGCATTTTTTTTTTCAAAATAGTTTTGAAAACAATAAAGAGCGTATTTCAGTCACTTGTAATTCTCTTGATGTCACAACTTTTCTGTAAAACTGAACTATATTATCGATATTGTATTAAAACCCCTTCAGATAATGATACAATGGAGAACTGAGTAAAGATAAAACTCAAAAGGTATATATGATGCTAAAAGAATAACAAAGAATGGTTATACATGAATGATGTTCATGTATATGAATCATATATGTAGGGCAAACCTTTACATCACTTTAACAATCGACAAGACTTTTCACGGTACAACAAACTTGCATCAACCGAAGAGTAAGAAATTGCGCGTCAGTTCATGTTAGAAAATTACCAGCTTTACTGTCGTTGCTGGAATTAACAGGAACAACTGCAGGGCCGCTGTTTAACGACTGCTCAAAGTGCATCAGAGAAAACCCATCGACCGTCCCTTTTCTTTCACTGTAAATAATCTCATTTTTTCCCACCTCAGCTTGTTCAACCTTCTCCTTGGTCATCGTGCTGACATCCTCGGCTGCCTTTGCAATAGCGCTAAACGCGCTCGAGACCCATGACGCTCCGGTTAAGACGTAAGAATTGCTCATGATAGCAGTTCCAGCACTACTTGCCTTTTGCTCGGCAACAGCATAAGCAGACTTTGTCATTCCAGAAAGCTGATACCTTTCATCCATCTCTTTCACCTTTTCATTAACAATGGTTGTTCCAATACTTAGTTTATCACTCAAACCAATTTTACGATCAATGGAAGCAACTGTAGAAGAAGCATTAGAGGTCAACTGAAGACGTTCGTCTAAGGATTTTGTCTTGTTGATTGCGTCCTTTCCTAAAATGAAACCCTTCGCAAGCATGGTACTTATCGCATCTTCAGCCTTCTTAACAGCAGCAGTATTTCGGTTTGTCTATAGAGAAGAACAGTATACGTTAGAAACTCTACTGGACTTCAATTCACGCAGTTAATAAAATCAGATACACTAACAATTAAGAACTTACAGGACTTGACGGAAGAGCTTCCGGGGGAAGCTGGTACTGCTCCACCGGTGATATGGTGACATATAGGTCACCTATCTTAGAACCCTATATTAAAAATCAAAGAATAAGCACATGACTTAAAATCTACAGTTACATTTTCATCGCAAAAACTATATGCGTATGAACATACTGTCAAGAGAACTGCTGTCTCGGCTCCCTGTGAATCCTTAAAGGTAACATAAGCAACCTGAGTGCGATCAGATTCCCTGCAGAATTACAGAAAAAGATTAGGGTGACATTAGTATAAAGTAAATGTTTCAAAAACAATCGTAACAAACGAATGAATCAAGATAAGTACATTGCAAGTGCTCTGACCTTTGCATCTCAATATATTGAATATCACCTGAGAATGAAAAGAACTCTTCAATGTCCTGTTTGGAAGTAATCAGTGATATGTTACTCACTTTAACCGTTCTTATCTGCACGAAATCAAAATGGAATGAACTTGAAAATTGTCCATCAAGAAATATCAGAAATATCATAAAGTAATTTACAATTACAGTGTAAACAAATAATACTATCTTAAAAAGTAACCCCTCACATCTGAAACATGAATGGTCCAATTTGGCGTAGCTGTGGAACATGGAATCGTTTCAGCTCTTTGATCTGTAAGGTCCACTAATGTCTGCACAGAAAGTGTTGAATAAAGATATTGCTTGGATAATATTTTGTAAACCATACTTCAACTTCCATTAGATCCAAAATCTCATTAGAAAAAATCATAGATCAAAAATTTCATAGGCAATACTTATTGAATAAACCCAATAACAATGAGTCATAAACAAGAAAGAAGAGAAGAAAAGTAATAATTATAAGATCTGAAACGAAATTAACGAGAAATGGGAATAGCAGAGGAAGATGAAACTCACCGACATTTGGGAAGATACGATTTGATACAATGATTATTGTCGTAATAACGTTGGTTTGTTGTAAGAATCGGAAAGAGAAGGGTGGTTTAGTAATTTTGAAGGGAACAAAAACAGCGTTGCGTTGGTTTAGTAATTCTGTCATTTCGTGTTGTAATTTGGTGTGACGTGACTCACTCGTTGAGTAGGAATGGGTTGTGTAAATTTTCAAACCAAGACTTAACAAAGAAGGAAAAATAATATAGTTAGGGTATAAGAGAATTTTTTTTAAAAATTTATTAAATAAATAATATATGTGGTTTATATTTAATCAAAATATATTAATTGTTTAATAAATTTAAAAGTAATTTCTTTTATAGTAAAGTTGGAGAGAATATTAACCATGTAATTAAATTAGAGTGTAATATAATGTTGATGTAGAGACTTACCATATTATACCTTAGTTGATTTCTATATAAATATTGAAGTCATTTAATGCTATTTTTTTTATTTAAAGTGAACTTCAATTAATTTAAAACAATATATTTGAAATGTAGAGTTATCGATTCATAAAGGCATGTCTTAGACTCGGCTAAGGCATAATTTGTTAGAATTCGAGTCATCTAAATCTCGAAAAATAAAATAGATAAATAGATAAACATATCATAGAAGAACTATTGATTAAGGTTGGTCGGTCTTTGTAGACTATTAGATAATAATAGTTTGCAGAATCATTTGACATATCGTTAGCATCTGATTTTTTATTCAAGCTGCACCTAAATCTATTAAGTCTAATTTGAAAGAATTTCAAGAACAAATTCACAAGATTTAGATCACTGTCTCTTCAAAACATATTTAAAATTTTGAAAAAGTTTATAGTGATTTAATATTTCAACAAAAAAGTGTAGGTGAGTTCGACTAGCCTATCATGTGTTTTGAAACTTAGTATATTTTTGAAGTCTAAGGAACAAGTGACTTAGAGATATTATGACATTACAAGATTCAACAAAGAAGCTTTTCGGCAAACGTAGTTAGAGTTTGTAAAGATAGTTTCAATAATAATAGTCAATTCAAAGACAAAAGACATGTGAGAACATATGAGAAGGAAAGAGTCCATGTAGTAAGATACGTGTCGAGCAGTGGCGGCCCTGAACATGTGTAGGGAGAGCCATAACACGAGGCCTCAAATAATTTAGGACCCCAATTTTATTTTGGGTTTTATAAAAATTTAATAAAATAAATAATATTTAATTTTGTTTCTGACAATAAGCAATATTTATCATGCAGCTTAGTGGTTATTATGTGTTTTATGTCTAACAAGTAGTTGGATCGAGTCCATCTAAAAGATATTTATATTATTAATTTTTTAAAATAGCCACATTTTATTATTTTGGACATTTTTAACCGCATCCTATAGAGTTGAAAAACAACATATGAAAATCTCAAAATGTCTCCCAATTTTCAGAGATGCGTCTCCGAACGAATCTAAAATCACACAAGCAAAGACTTTATAGGTGAGACACATTTATTTTGCCTATAAAATATTCGGAGATACATCTCGAAAATCCGAAGATGTATTTCCATAACGTGTCACGGTGTTCCATTACCATTACCTCTACTTTCTTCACATTGCGACTAACAATTACCCTTACATGGATCCAAATTTCTGGAAATGTATTTCTAGACTATTTTTTAACAAAACAAAGGTGTGATTCACTTACGCATGAATTTGATGTATTTTTGGGTGCGTTCGGAGATGCATCTCTAGAATCTAAAGGAATTTTAGTATTTTTCATGTGATGCCTAAGTAATATGTATGGTGCATTAAGAAATCCTCGTTATTTTTACCTCAGGCCTCTGTGTGTGTTTGGCCGGCTCTGGTATCGAGTCCTACAGAACTAACTGTTATCGATAATTGTTATTGTATTTAGTATTTAAGTTGATTTCAATCATGTAATAAAGGTTCACAAATTTTATCAATATTCTCTATAGAAATCGAGTATCCAAGTCACGGAGAAAAAAAAGTTTGTAAGAAATGTACGAATCTTTGTTCCTCTTTTAATTCTTTAATTCCAGCATTGTATTTGATTGATCTTTATCATTTCTTTTCATTTATTTTTCTATTTGAGCAATTCCGCACTTTAATTTTGAAGCTTCTATTCAATTATCCTTCATCGTTCTTACTGGAATTTCTACCCCATTTTTCTACACCCTAACATCAAGTAACAAGAAAATATGCTTTATTTAACTTTTTTTTCCACAATATGTCATAAAAGTTTTTCGAGTTTAATGTTGAATTAAAACTTGTGATTGTTTACTAAAAACAATGGTAAACAAATTCCCATGCCCAGTGGGACTATTTTGCGCAAAGAATTTAAACTTTTGTAGAAAGTTTCTTCGTGTCTTTATTGTTTACTTCATTCTTCATCCATGCAAAGTTTCTTCGTGTCTTTATTGTTTAATTCTAAAACATTTTCAAAACCAAGCTTTTTCAAAAATACACATTTCACCCCCCTCTTGTGTGTAACGTCACATGTCCAATAAGTGACATTATAGCCCAACTTTTATTTGAGGTCTAATCGTCTAAGGAGGAAGATAACTTCCAACAAGATTTCATTTCTAAACAAATCACTACTTTCTAATAATAATAGATTTGATATTTGGCAAGCTAGGTTTAGAACTTTTTTCAAAGTATCAATCACGAATTACGGAAAAGTATAACCAACGGTCTGTTTATCTCTACATACCAAGTAAATGGAAAAGTAATAAATAGAACTGACTCCCTTTGGACCAAAGAGGAAAAGAGAAAGTTTGAAATACATTTTAAAACTAAGAGCTTTATAACAATGTCTCTAGATGATAGTAAAATTTACTACATTCATCAATGTAATACCGCCAAAGAAATGTGGAATACTCTTGAAATGATATATGAAGTCTCTCCAAGTATTGGAAATGGAGATATTAGATCACCCTATCACAATCCTCTTGATACTTGAAAATCCATAGTTGGGATACCATTGACAAGATTTGACATTGCTTTGTTGAAAACTAGGGCTTCCATCCAACCTATCTGTAATATCCCAAATTTTGCCCTAAGATTTGTCGTCGTATTTCATTGCATTTTTATTGCATTTAATCAATTACTAACAAATTTGTGTAGTCGTTTGACTTTTTGCAGGTAAATATCATATGGCATGCATTTTTTTTCTAAAAAGTAAAAATGACACAATTGACAAGAGGACATGTGTAAGGAGTTGTGAGTGTGAGAGGTTGAGAGTTCGAATCTCACCTTTGTCACTTTTTGTTTTTTATTATTTTTACTCTAAATTTTTCTATCTTTCATTAAAAAATAACAAAAATAGTTTTTTTATTATTATTTAATTATTATTTTCGTATTTTAATTAAATCATTTTTTAAAATATTATTTTTTTCACTTTTTTCTAAATTATTCATAAAAATATCCAAAAAAAATCATAAAATAAAAAATATTGAAAAAAATTTTGTTCTTTTTATAATATTTTTGATTTTAGGAATCAATAGGATTATTAGTTTTTATTTTAAGTTTATTTTAAATTATTTAAATTTGGGCTTTAAAATGGGCTTTAGGGACATTATTGACAATTTGGTGTTAACCCTAATTTGTTCCCTATATATACATGTGTTGCCTTGTTGAAAAAGGGGAGAATGAAAAAAACCTAAGAGGAGTGAGTGTCGTTTACCGTTATTTCTTTTCTTTCATCTATTACTGTTGTTTCTTTTTCTTCATCGTTTACCGTTATTTCTTTTCCTTCGTCTATTACTGTTGTTTCTTTTTCTTCATCGTTTACCGTTATTTCTTTTCCTTCATCTATTACTGTTGTTTCTTTTTCTTCATCTTTTACCGTTATTTTTTTTTCTTCATCTATTACCGTTATTTCTTTTTCTTTATCTATTACTGTTACGTTTATATATTTATAATTTTTAAATTGTTAGAGTTTATATATATATATATATATATATATATATATATATATATATATATATATATATATATATATATATATATATATATATATATATATATATATATATATATATATATATATATATATATATATATATATATATATATATATATATATATATATATATATATATATATATATATATATATATATATATATATATATATATATATATATATATATATATATATATATATATATATATATATATATATATATATATATATATATATATATATATATATATATATATATATATATATATATATATATATATATATATATATATATATATATATATATAAGATTAATTTTTGATCGAATTATATCGATACGATGTTTGCACATTTGTGTGCATGACGCGTGACATTTGTGTTAGTTCGATCTGGTTGCGATGATCACATTTTTGTGTGAGCAATAATACTGTTTTTTGCTTAATTTCTTTTTCTTTGCGATAAATTTTGTTTCGTCCGATTTAGATCTGGTTGCGATGAGCGCATTTCTGCGTTAGCAACATTGTTGGGTTATTTGGCACATTTAAAATTCATTATTGCTTTATTATTATTACTATTATTATTATTATTATTATTTATTATTATTATTATTATTATTATTATTATTATTATTACAATTATTATTATTGTTATCATTAACTTATTAAAACTTGTTATAATATAAAAATCTCTTTTTTAAAATAAATAACTTTATCATCTTTTCCAAATTAATATGAAAATCTATTATTTTTAAGAAAAACTTTTTTTTAGATAAATTTAAAATAATAACTAAAATCTTTTTTTAAAATAATAACTAGAACCGTTTTTAAAAAAATATATAATAATAACATTAAACCTTTTTTTTTATAAATAAAACCTTTTTGTTAGATAATTAAATTAAGACTATTTTTGAAAAGTTTTTTTTAATAATATTAAAACCTCTTTTTTAACTTAAATCAAAAGCTTTTTTATATATCACAAATAAACAACAAAGAATATCTATAACTTTCGCACTTCCGTTTCATAACTCGTC